AATGGTTGTGTGAACTGTATAACATTCGGGAGTCATGGATTCCAGCCTATTATGCTGATGATCCAATGGTCGGTTTATTGCGGACTACATCAATATTAGAGAGTGAGAACAGTTTCTTTGACAAATTCAACCGTAGATCTAACACATTAACGGAATTTTATCTCCGATACGAGAGTGCTATGGAGAAGCAAAGGCATACAAACGCAAGATTAAACTATGAAGGAACGAAGTCGATGCCAAGAATGGACACTCCATTGTTATTGGAGAGGGATGCAGCAGAGTTGTACACGCGAACAATGTTTTATGAGGTACAGAGTGAGATAATGTCATCTTGTTATGATATGAGTATCAACAGTATATCAGAAGAAGATGGCGTGAAGATTTTTTCCATAAAGGACAAAAAGAGACATGGAAAAATATTTAAGGTAAAACTTAATAATGGATATTGAAACAATAGAAATTGAATCTGTTTTCAATGCAATGAATCGTGATTCAGTATTGTGAATCTCGATTCACAACACTGAATCGCGATTCAGTAACCATTTAATGGGCTTGTCATTTTCTTTTTTTATTCCGTGCTAATATACATTGCTTTTTTGAATTTTAGGTGAAACACGCTTATTTGAACAATGACGTGCAATGTACGTGTAGGCTGTTTGAGAAAATGGGTATAGTATGTAGACATGGTTTTTTTGCACTGAACCAAGCTGATGTAACAAAGATACCAAGACATCTTGTTGTGAACCGATGGACAAAAGGTGCTGAGATGAGGCATTCATTACAGTTCAAGGAAATATCAGAACAGTGCAATGCAATTGAAGTTACAAATCATAAGTTGAATGACATATGGTATGATTTCCAATCCTGTGTGAGTTTGGCAGGTTTAGATGGTGAGAGACTTGACTACCTGGAAGGGAAGTTGAAGGAGCTGAAGCACAGTTTGCGTGAATCTAGTTGGAAATCTGACACACAGAACAAAAATGATGTAATGGAGTTTTTTGTTGGCTCAAAAATACCAGCGGAAGTGATCGTTAAACCTCCCATTAAAGGTAGAAACAAGGGGTGTGGACGGAGAATTGTTGGTGATTATGAGAAATCACTTACTCAACGAAAAAAGAAGGTGCCAAGGCTGTGTAATATGTGCAAAAAAATCGATTTCCATGACGCACGGACATGCCCATTAAAGAAAACAGTACAGGAAAGTGATGTTTAATTTAGTTGTTATATTTCATTTCAGAATCATTTTTATGAATACATTTCTTATGCAAATTGCTGAATTGTGTAATTCTTAACTACATATATTTACTAGATTATTAATTACATGGTTACATTGTGTCATGTTAGTATATTGAATTGAGATCTACTCATATAGCATGTGAATTCCATTATTATTAGTTGTATTATTTAAGCAGGTATGATAAAGTCGTTGTATGCAGTCATCAGTTTGAATTTAATTCGCGTTAAGCGATTCTGGACTAACTATATTGTTTCAGAATATCATTTTCTTTGAGATCTTGTGATCTTCCTCGTCTCTTTTTTGAATTTGGCAGTTTCAGCATGGTGCAGTTGGGCTTTCCTGATGACTTCTTTGGCCAATTCATTTGTTGGTTCAGTAAGAATTTGGCAACAATATATAGACCTCAGTCTATGTAGCTGATTTTTTAATCGCTCCTGTCGATATGAATAAAAGTTCAGTTAAAGATTCAGTAGCTATATTCTAAATTTTATTAATACAAAAAGACTAAATGTAAATTATCAACACGTTATTAGTTTAAACACTTACACCCTCTCTATGAAAACCAGAGTTCCAATTTACTGTACCACCGCCCATGTAGGTCTCCATATGTCTCATGACAAAAATAGCACAATCAAATTTGTTTTTGGCCGTTCTCCACTCCATCTCAAGTCTGTCAGGCGTTAATGTATTTATTTCACTCGCCTTGTGATGTTTTTTGTGTGCCAAATATCTCACAAAATTGTGGTGCTATTTAATCAAAAGTAATCAGTGTCACATAACAAATCCAAATTATGAAACAACAATGTTTAATGTAATATACAATTTGTTTTGGTTGTTTATATGCAAACAGTATTAATGACATTGAATCACGATTCATTGGATCTAGCTCGCTAGAATTTAATAGAGTTAGTTCACCTGGATTTACTCTAATGAATCTGGATTCATATTAATGAATCTGGATTCATTAGAATTAACTATAGGTAGTGCATAGTGATTATGTGATGTGAACACAAATTCACCAGCTATATTGAATCGAGATTTATAGTAAGATGTGAATCCAAATTCACTAACTCTCGTGATCAAAATTTCAGATCACTAGTTATAGCTAGTGGATCGTTATTACGTGATGTGAACACAGATTCGCTATGTCTAGTGAATTGAGCTTCATAGTAAATGTGAATCCAGATTCACTAATTATAGTGATCGATATTCACTAGAGTTAGCTAATCTGGAATTCTCTGACTCTATTGAATTCTAGATTCACTACATTTAATCCATATTCACTATAGTGAATCGAGATTCACTAAAGTGAATCGAGATTCACTAAAGTGAATCGAGATTCACTATAGTGAATCCAGAATCACTATAGTGAATCCAGATTCACTATAGTGAATCCAGATTAGCTATAGTGAAACCAGATTCACTATAGTGAATCTGGATTCACTCATTACTGTTTTTGGCCAGTAAATGTTTAAAGAACATACGTAAGGTGGAAAAAACATACCAAACCCTCAGGACGACCTTGGTATTTTTCCTTGTAGTCTGGGCAGTTTTTGCTATTGTCAATCAGCTCCACACTTGGAATTTTTAGCCCATAGCATACAATGTAGAAATGCTTAAACGCATTTATGGGGAAGAAGACCTATTTGTCATGAAATTTAATAAGAGATTTTACAGATATAGTTAAAATTGGGATAAATAGAAAAAACATTGTATTCTAATATTTACCATATCAATCTCATTAAACTTCATATGTGGATACAGAGCAAGTTGCTCATCCATCTGGGAAGCAAACCGATTGTATCTCAATTCATCATTGACCTCATCTGTGTGATGAATGTTGCAAAACTGTACAACATAAAATTTGTTAAATAAGATGTAACTCAAGTGTTATTTTAAATAAAATAAAGGATCTTGAAAGTAGGTAAGAAACATTCAATTTGTCTCCACTTAAAAACCATTTCACTGAAAAAATAGTAACAATATTCAATTTAATAAAGGGACAAAATACTAAAAATAGTGAATCTCACACCTAATAATAAAATATCAAATAAGTGTTCAGAACTCACAAATTCTCTTCTTCAGCGGTATCATCACCTGAATGCCTTACTTCTCTATGTACCCAATTCCATATGATGCTTTCCAGCTGACTTTGCCTAGCAGTAATCTGAGATACCCTCTGCACCCATGGTGACCGAAGAGACGTTGCAGGCTTCACCATCCTCTTTTCTTCCCCCCTTCCCGCATGTCCCTTATTTTCGGCCACCTGAAGTTTCTTACCTTCACATTCATTTACTGCAGCAGCATCTTCAGGTTGTTTATCAGTTCTTCGTACAGATTCATCAATGATTTCAGATTCACAAGCTTTAGCAATCTGAACAACATCAACCATTTCCACTGATTCAGTCTAAGTATCTTGTGTCAACCCAAGAGAAAAACTAGGTTCTTCAGTCTGTGGGGTACTACATTCGCTGATCTTCCGTCTCACTGGTCTGTCATCCTTTTTCATGCTAACAGACTCTATAATCTTATCAACTTCTTGAATAAACATTGGGGAGACTTGTGTTTGTGGTATATCACCTGATATTGGATCAACAGCAGGGGAACAATGCATATCTCTACTCACCTTGGTGTTCACGTTAGGGGTATCATCAACAATGTTTCCCACAGCTGTTTCATCGTCACAGGTACTTACACGATGTCCACACCCCTGCACAAGAACATTTGAAACTCTTTGTTGAATTTGAAAGAGCTCATTGTCATCGGGGAACAGCTTTCTCATTGTCTCACACTCAGCATCAAATCTATTTTTTGCAGATTCCAGCTCTGCAGCTCTCCGTTGAACCCTCTCAATACAATCCTGCATTTTGAATCACAAACATTGGTCACCATAAATTATTAACATGGCGATAGACAAGTTTCGATAGATTGAGATTACATTCAATGTATTTGTATCAAGATTCAGTAATAGTGAATCCATATTCATTCCAGTTTCATTTTAATGAATCGAGATTCAGTAATAGTGAATCCAGATTCAGTTCAATAGATCGATATTGAGTATCACTGAATCCAGATTCACTTAACTGAATCTGAATTCAGTTTAACTTGATTGATAATCACTGATCTGAAACGAGATTCATTGCTATTAAAATGATTCATTGTTCTGAATCGACATTTAGTTTAAGTGAATCGAGATTCACTCCTACTGAATCTAAAATATATTGAATAAACAAAGTATTCCAACTTATTTTGCTAACCTTTCTAATTGTGTCAACACTTTTAGGAGAGTTTCCAGTAGCACTCTGCATTCGAGATGAATCTGGAAGTTCAACCCTCTCTGTAAATGCACCTTTGCCAAATGAATTTGTTCTTATTTCCTCTGACTGTCTTTCCTTCAAGGCGAAGTCAGTCCATCCTAAAAATGTAGGGGTTGTTCTCTCAACCAACCTCCTACCTTTGAACAGAACCCGATCGGCATAGAAAACCTAGAAAGACGGAGATAAGAAATAAAGCACATCAATTAGTAATAATCAAGTAAAACTACTTTAACTGCAGTAATGTAGAAATAAATCAATATTATACAAGTGACTTACAATCAAGAATGCAAGAGGACCCGTGTAGAATTGTTTTGTCGGGTCAACCTTCCACTTGTGTTGGCTATCTATCATTGAGTCAAGTAATAAAGAACACCAATTGTATTGAGAGCACTGATCAACATTATCACCAAGTACTAGAATCCGTTGGTTGACATACGGATTGCTAAGCGACTGGATCATGCTGTTGTGAAAGAGAACCAAGAAATTCAGTTTAAAAAACAGGTTAACATCAGAACTGTGCTTCAGTTTCTCAGACACAGCCCCTGGAGTAATTTTCCAACCAAAAAAAAAAAGATGTTTAGTACACTAACCTTTTTCATTTTTTTCCTTCCAGTGATCTGTTCATTGTCTTCATCCCTACTACGCTTTGATGTTTCCTCATCGGCAGGATTATTTGGGGGGTTGACGAGGTTATCGTCATTGTTGGACCTCACATGTCTTTTCTTCGCAAGCTTCTCCACCCCAAAAAATAATATAATTAGATCAAATTATCCATCATTGAATACACAAAAAAAACAAAGATTTTTAGTACACCAACCTTTTTCTTCTTCATCCTTTTTGGGGTCTGTTCACTATCTTCATCCCTTGTACGCTTTAATGTTTCCTCACTGTCAGGATTATTTGGGGGGTTGATGAAGTCATCGTCACTGCTTTGCATGTTCACAGTGCGTGTTGTCCTCTGTTGAGGTATAGGTGTAAATACCTCAACACATGCTTTTTGTTTGTTTCTTGAACTAGATCGTAGACCTGCTAAATCGATGACATTTCATTTTTTAATGATACCAGACTTTGCATAATGCATGGCAAGCATGAAGGTTTAATCACATTATTGAATATAGATATTATAATACATATCGCGATTCATTGGAGTGAATAGCATTTCGCTGAAATGAATCTCGTTTCACTGCACTAAATCGCGATTCAACAGTGTTTCACTGTATTGAATCGAGATTCACTCTAAGTGAATCTAGATTCACTATAGTGTATCGAGACTCAATAAAGTGAATCTAGATTCACTACAGTGAATCGAGATTCAACCAAATGTATTGAGATTTAGCAAAGTGAATCCAGATTCAACAAATTGTATCGAGTTTCAACAAATTGAATCCAGATTCAATGATATGAAACCAACTCCATGCCATACCATACATTCTTTCAGTGTCTTGTCCCTCAACACAAAAAGGAAAAACTTATCATCGTTACAGTTTAATTTCACTGTTAGTATACATAAAGCATTTAATTTTTTCCATCCTATATACTTGGCTTCGGATAATATTTGGGAAAATCTCCATCCTATATACTCGGCCTAGGATCATATTTGTTATTTTTTACAAACAATCATAATAAAGTGAATCTCAATTCTCAATTCTCTACGAACAATCAGGATTCACATTAGTGAATCGAGATTCTCTATGTTTGAGTGCATACAAATTTACTCCACTAAATAGCTATTCACTTGAGTGAATAGAGATACATCGAATGAATCGCGATTCACTCAAATGAATCTCGATTCATTGCAGTGAATCTCGTTTCACTGAAGTGAATGGAGGAGATTCAAGTAGAGTGCATATTGCAGAATCCAGACAACCAGAATTAATCGCTACCCGTTTAGAACAGATGAAAACATTTTATAATATTAAGAACAACTTACTTTGATTTAACAAGATAAAGGAAAATGTAAAAAATAAAAACCCTAAACTAGAACATGCAACAGTAACATTCTATAAAGCTAAAAAAAAAGTCTTCAACAACATGCAAGTGATTCACGTCTAAATTACGAACTTTTCCCACACTGAATCTATGAAAAATGTTCAAACTTTGATAAAAAAATTACATTTTTAATACGAGGGTTGGAATCGTTTTACCTGTTCTTGAAGACGAGGGTTTTGAAGTCTCTATGTTGTTTTTCTTCATCTCTATCGTCGAATTCTTGCTTGTCGTAGTCATCGTCGAATTCTTGCTCGTCGTCTTCGTTCGAGTTGTAACGAGATGTTCAAAGAAACCTAAATTTTGAGAAATCGACGGAATGTGAACAGTTTAGTTCTTGGGGTAAAGAGAAGATGAAACTGGAAACTGAATCGTTTTTTGCGTCGGAAGAAGTGTTCGACAGCTTCTCTTAATTAATTACAGCGTATATCATTAATGCCGCTTTTCCTATATTACCCCTTTTACGGTTATTTTGTCAGCTGATGTGTATTTAATTTCAATTTTGCCATTTTCAATCTTGACCATTGGATGAAATAGAATGTAGGGTTAAGATTGGTTTTTAGTTCTCTAGGTTTTTATTAGAACCTCTCTCTCTCTATATATATATATATATATAGGATATGGGTCGGCATTGTACTTAAGGGTTCTACAAACAAAATGGTTGATTTTGGACGTGAAGAGATTGTGGACTAAGTTTGGGAGGTAAGCAAATAAATTATTTAATTTTGGGGGTTAGAATCAATTTCCCCTAATTTGGATCACTCTGTGGCATAAAATTTCAAAGTAAAATTAATAGATAGAAAAGTTAATAGATATTCTATCTAGTTAAGTTTTACTGGAGATTTACTCTAAAAATACATATTCCAGTCGAAATTATTATCAAAAGTGTTGTGTTCTCTGTATCGATCACAAGAGGACATGCTTTCTCCACAAAAACAAAGGTTTAAAAACATCTGGCAGGAAAAGAAAAAAAAAGGTTCCAAGAACTGGAAAAGTTTGTGTTGGGTCCATCCCTAAAAGCAACAGCAACAGGCTGCTGCCTGCTGGTCAAGCATGAGAGCAACCCAAAACCCTAAAAATGGCTCTAATCATAATATAGCCCACCTCCCACATCTTCACTCCCAACTAATCATATCACGCCACGTGTCGTGCACGTTCATACGATCATCCGGTCATCATCCCACGAATCCTGTATCCTGTTAAAATTCATAGAATAATAGCCTACTTTATTTTTATATTTATTTTTTTCCTTTTCTGTCTTTTATTCTGGGGTATAGCATAATGGGTATACACTCATGCCAGCTCATTGCTCTGTAATCTTTCCTTATTCCAGCCTCTGGCTTTTGTTTTTGTATCAGCACGGAATAACCTCCGTCTCCATCTCTCTCTCTCTCTCTCTCTCTCTCTCTCTGGTATCTCTTGAATCCATGGCAACTGAGGCTCTGGTAACTGATCAAACCGCTCAAGGGGTACGTTAAAGGAAAGCCCTTTATTAGTTTATACGTACTGCTTTACTTACTTTCTAGCTTAATTATTTGATTTGAGTTGCGGTGGTTGGTTGCTTGAGCATTGATGGCTTATGGGTATAAAAAAGTTGATGTCTTTTGATGAATTAAGCGCGAAAGATCAAAGCTTTTTGTGTTTTCCTGGTACGAGTTTAGGTTTAGAGAAATACCCACTTAGGTTTTTCTTGGTTCTATCTTGTTTTCTGGTAGTAGAGAAGAGAAAGTGGTAGCAGGCGGTTACTCTGTTTTAAGCAAGAAAGATGTTAACTTCCTCAGTTCTTCTGTAATTGAAGCTAAAATTGGAAAATAGTTGCTTGAGATTTAACATGGCAATATCTTTCTTTTCTTAGATTAAGCTTGGATTTCTTTTTAGAGTATATATTAATTTGTACGCTTTGATAACCTTCCTTATATTTCCCACAAAAAAAGATTTGTACTTGTTATGTTCGTCTAAAAAAAATCTGGACTTGTTGGATTCTAAGTATGTTCAGTAGTATCTTCTGAACAAATAGTGTTTGTTTAAAATCCTGTAAGAATAAAGGATTATTCTAGACGAGAAATACATTTACTTAAATAAATTCTAGGTGAATACTTTCATTTACTATATTTATTTGAGGCATCTGTTTACTTTTTTACGTCACAATTCTGAATGATCTAGATATTTTACCTTCTACATAGTCGTAAACTAACATAATTTGTAGTTCTTTTTTAATATGGTGGCCTTGTTCCTTTAGTGATGATCCACAAGGGGTAGGATTCATTTGAATGCTCGTGCCAAAGTACGGAGACTCACTCCAGAATGATTGAATAATAAATAAATAAAATCTTAATTCATTTTCTTAAACTTTCCCTAGCTGAGATATCGAGTTTTAGAAATATCGTTACAAGAATTTTGTTCTCTAGTCTGCTGCAAAGTTTTAAATCAATTTCAACTCTTGAAGGTTTTTGCCCCTTGATTCCAGAGTCAACACATTAAATCTTGATATCAATCTCAGGCCTTGATCTGGATCCATTTAATAAGCCGGTGGCAGTCATCTGGACTTGTTCAATCTGTATGCGTTCAGTATTTTTTTTCACTGGCGTTGTTTGTTAAAAATCCTGGAAGAATAAGGACTATTCTAGAGGGGAGAGAGTGGTAAGCTATACGAAATTATTCTTTTCGTTTGAGGCCTCTGCTTCATGTTTGTGTGGCAGTTCTGGAACATGAAATGTATATTCAAAGTTCATGATTTGATAAATCTTGTACTTTCTTTACAATTACTTGCTTTACATAGTCATAATCCATCATAATTCTTTTCTTTGAAGAAAAATAATCCATCATAATTCACTGTTACTTCTGAATGCTGAGCTGCCAGTCCTCTTCTCTTTTATCATGATACACAAATGAGCAAGGATTCATTAAATGTTAATGTCTCTCACTAAGATTTCAATCAAGAATGAAGGACTAGTGAAGGGGGAAAAGTTCTTATTCATTTTCTTACACCTGCTTTGGCAGAACTATCCAAGTTTAGGAAAATGAATTATTATAGGAATTTTGCTTTTTATTTTGTTATTAAATAGCAACCTTAAGCTAAGAGGGTATTCTTCTTACTGCGATAATGTTCGGGTGTAGTAACTTCTCTAAGGGCTTTGGATGGATCTGTCATACTATTTGGTAGCCTGGCATGTGCCATCGTCTTTGAAACATCTCTTTTTTCAACATTTTCTTCTTTGTACTACTTCTTTCTTTTTAACTTCTACCAACCAGACTTTGTTTTAACATTAAGTTAAGCTAGCTATGGTAAAGATAGTTAACACATCACATCTTATAGGTCAAGGAATATTGTCAATATGATATATCGTGAACGTAAGGTTTCCTGAAAGCCTGCGAAATTTTTATTTTGTGCATCTTTATTCAATTCTATAAACTTGGCTTTAAGTATCAGTTTTATACTTCCTGTTCCTTCTCATGAGAATTGGGGCATGAAAATAAAAAAGCAGGCGGAAACAACAAAATATAACACTTTTTTGAAGATAATATGTGGAGAACTTCCCTTTTCAACTATGTGTAGACTAGTAAAAGACAGAAATGTCCAAGAAACTAGTATTGTGATAGGAAGAGTCCAAATTTCTTATTTCGATGCATATTATATTTATCTAGAGAGAGAATGTCCAAAACAAATGAGGTATCCTTCAGAAAGACTATGAGATAATTACTTTGTCTTGAGGATAATGAGCAGTTTTCTACCTTAAGTATGTATAGATTTTAAGTGTCTATATATAGTAGTACTTAATTGTTCATTTTTATTTGTATGCTGCATTGTCCTGTCTTAACCTCTATAATATTAATTGGTTCTTCTGATTTGATGTTGAAAGTATCCCTTTCTGATCAATTGAACTAAATATTAATGTTTTACGATCTTCAATCAGATATATGAGAATGTGTTTCTGATTATTACTTGTAATCCTTTTCCCCCTCTCAGAAAAGATGTTATTAATCTTTTTATAGTCTCTTTTTACAAACATATTGGGGTTGTACTTTGGAGAATTGTTTCTTGGGCATGTGGTTAAACTGCAAGACTAAAAAAGTTCAGCGCGACTCTTTTTACAGCATTGCTTTTTTGCTTTCTCAATATCCGTACATTCTCTAAAGACAGACGGCAAATTTTCACAAGAGAAGCCTTAGATTTGGATGGCAATGAGTCTGTAGAATAATCACAATGATTTTTAACTTCCATTAAATCGTTTGCGACTTACTATTTACCTTACACACACACACACACTCTCTCTCTCTCTTTCTCTCTCTCTCTCTCTCTCTCTTGTCAGTGCCTTAATAGTCTTAGTCTTTTTCAGCATGTTGAGGAAGTGAAATTGACTGATGAAGTTGCAAAAATTGTTGAGAAAGACACTTCTCCTGAGTCTAAAGATCTCAAAGAAAAAGATGACGAAAAAACCAAAGTAGATGATTCAACCAGTGTAGAAGCAACTGCAAACAAAGTGGAGGATGCAGTCATGCCTGAAGAAACACAGGAAGATAAGGTTGAGACTGAAATGAAGGAGGTAGAAAAAGAAGAATCAGAAAATGCAAAAGATGGAACCTCGAAACAAGATGCTGATTCTTTGATTTCAGATTCTAAAGAAGAAGCTGCAGTGGAGCCAGCAACTGAAGCTGCTGTCGAAGGTCTGAAGGATCAAGTTGAAGTAGCTAATATATCTGAACCTCCAAAACTAACAGTAGAAGAAGCAGCAGATGTTTCTGGGGAAAAATTAGTGCAAGAAAGAGTATCTGAAACAGCCAAAGAGCCAGAAGCTTCTGAAGTAGCAGCTGAAGAAGTGAATACTGCTCCAGAAGCAGCAGCTGAAGAAGTGAATACTTCAGCGGAAGCAGCAGCTGAAGAAGTGAATACTACTCCAGAAATAGTTGCTGAAACAGTGAATCCTACTCAAGAGAAAGCAGGTGAAGAAGTGAGTAAAACCGAAGAAGCTGAACCAGCAAAGGAGGAACTGCAAGTCACAGACTTACTTAGTGAGACTGTGAAGAAATCCCTAGGAGATTTTTTCTCAGTTAAGCTGGAGGAGAACATAGAGTCTCCAAAGGAGGAACTGCCAGTTGCAGACCTGAGCAAACCTGAAGAAGTGTCTCATCCAGAAGCTGTTGCATCTAAAATCGAGGATGCAGTTGTTTCCGGAGCTCCAGTTAAGGATCTTAAGGAAGAAGCGGAAAGAGCTGATGCTACTGAAGTTGATCAGAATGCTTCGGGAAATGCAGAAAAGATTGTATCTATTGATACCGATCCTGTTGCTGAATCCACTGAAACTGTTGTAAAGCCAGAAGACAAGGTTGAGCAGGAAATGCAAGAAAGGACTGTTGAAGCTGAAGAGCCAATTGCGAGTGACACAGTCAAAGCTGATGCTGCTACTGAAGTCTCATTGGAGGCTTCTGCCATTGTTGAAGGTCCTCCACTCTCATCTGAGGGAGAGAAGGCTTCTGAAAGTGTTGAAGACAGGAAGAACGAAAGTGTAGAAGGTGAAAAGCCTGCTTCAGTTGAAACCTCCAGAGATATCAATGCAGAAGGTGAGAAAACTGATGTTGAAGTTCCTCCACTCTCATCTGAGGGAGAGAAGGCTTCTGAAAGTGTTGAAGACAGGAAGAACGAAAGTGTAGAAGGTGAAAAGCCTACTTCAGTTGAAACCTCCAGGGATATCAATGCAGAAGGTGAGAAAACTGAAAAAGATGCTGCTGAAGCTCCTAAAGAAGAGGTTGCCATTAAATCATCTCAACGCCAGTCAAACAACATATTTTCAAAGGTGAAGCAGTCGATGGTGAAGGTAAAGAAGGCAATCATAGGGAAGTCACCGAGTTCAAAGACAATATCAGCAGAGGGTAAAGATGAGATAAAGGTGAAGTAGTGTGCGAAAGAGCTGGAGTATGAAGGGATTTTTCAGTAGGTTTTCGTATCGTATGTATGTGGCTGTTTGTGCATGTTTTGCTGTAAAGATCGCTTATCTTGAATGCTGAATCCTGCCTGATCAAGATTCTACAAGAGGGTTTCTGATGCAGAGGTGATATCACATGAAGCAAATGACTACAGAAGGCTCGCATATTTGTTTTATAGTTTTTGAGTGCATCTTCGTTCTTTTCTGATATCGGGTGGTTGTATTGGATTTGTTATGTTTGTTGTTTGTTTCATTATTTATAGGTATTTGTGAAGACATTCTTTTGTTGGTAATCTTACATTTTGAACGTATTGTATATTGTAAGTTAAAAGTTTGTCTATTGAGCTTTTGGACGTTCACGATGTACTTTCATCCCATCTGAAATTCATTCCATGATAACTACTGTGAGCCTTAACATTATGAAGCTTTTGGTGTATGCAGTTATATTGCCTATTGTACTCAACCTAGAAAGACATGCAAAAAGATCCAACAGGCTACTGTAAGCCTCTGGCTGTAGGGAATAAAAACAAGCTTGGTCGTGGGGGAATGTTTAAGTTACCAGTAGGTGTCTTGCATATTATAATTGCAAGTTCGTTCCATATCTGATACTGCAGGTTTTACCACTAACCCCCCCCCCCCCCCCCAACCCCGCCAGCCCATGAAGAAAAAAGTCTGTATCCGCCAATAATAATTACTATATTAGTCTAAAAACTTTGTAACTTATCATTTGATTCTTTGAAACTTGGACGTGATTCTCAAGACGCTGATGTGTTTCAAGGTGTTTGTTGGCTAAAATATTTTCGGCTACAACTGCATCTATAGACCTGGAAGTGGTGTTTCTAGGTTAAGCGCACCTTGTTGGCTAAAATATTTTCGGCTACAACTGCATCTAGACCTACAACTACATCTAGACCTGGAAGTGGTGTTTCTAGGTTAAGCGCACCTTGTTGGCTAAAATATTTTCGGCTACAACTACATCTAGACCTGGAAGTGGTATTTCTAGGTTAAGCGCACCTTGTTGGCTAAAATATTTTCGGCTACAACTACATCTAGACCTGGAAGTGGTATTTCTAGGTTAAGCGCACCTTGTTGGCTAAAATATTTTCGGCTACAACTACATCTAGACCTGGAAGTGGTGTTTCTAGGTTAAGCAGAAGAGCTAACCCTCGATGAAGAAACTAGATTTTTATTTTTATTTTTTGGCTGACAGAAAAAAATTGGATGAACATTTTTTTTCTATAAGACGAGGCACTTTGTTTTGATGTTTTTGAGAAATGTAAAGTGACGTAGAACAGGACACGAGAGGACGTGAATGCGAAGAAAGCAAACAATCACACGAATGAAGATCTCTAAATTGAGCTACATGCATGCACTAGATGCAAATGCAAACTAATTAGCGAATAACTAAAGATGTAGTGCAACTCTAAAATAAAAATGGTGATGAATCATGCAAGGGATCGCAGAATTATCAATACTCAATGTAATTATAAATTCCCTACAACTTTAAAGAGATGCAAGATTAACAGTAAGAACTTGATGCCTTGTTTAGAGTTCACTTAAGAGGTGTAAGGATCTGACACCCAAATCGTCAAAGATCCAAATCATGACTGAGTTGAAAGGCTCGATTTCAAACCTGGTGAACTAATCCAACCAACCAGCTCTCAACTACTTGGATTTGAATTTACCACACGCTCTGTTGGAGATATTGTTTACGTGAATAGCAGTCGGAGCAGTTGGTTAACAGTAACTGGAGCAGGTGTTGAAGCAGATGGAAGAAGGATCGTCCGAATAGTGTCGGGGCAGGATGTGAACAGTATCTGGTTTGAACAGTGACTGTCAGGTTAGGTCTGAATTAGGGTATGGTTTTGTCTAAGTGGATCGTTAGATATGAGTTAAGAGTATAATGAGAGGCTATGATTTAATCTGAACAATAAAATGGGTGTAACACCCGGGCTTCACACCCTCATAGCAATTCACATGCCAACTTGAAAACTTAGAATTATCATATCAAATAGTCTATCCTTCACTGTGGCCTTACATCATTATTCATAATTATAAATAAAATCAAATCAAATCCCTAAATTACGCACAAATCTTAGCAAAATTAGAAACTAATGTAAAATCCTATCAATTAAAATATCTGAGGTGCCATTTGGCAAGAGTTTAAGAGAGGAAGGTTAAGGAGAATGGTTAATTTAGGCTTCGTTTGGATACCATGGTGTTTTTCTTATTGTGTTTTTGTAAAAAACATCATGGTGTTGTGTTTTTTCCTTAAAAGTATTTTCAAAACATCATTTTGAGTGTTTTTGGTCAACACTAGTTTGACCCGTTACAACATTAGTATTAAACATATTATTAATATATTATATATTAATTATAATAAAATATATTATGAATAAAATGTTATAATATTTAGTTTACATCATTGCAATATTATAAATATTAAATATTGTATAATATATTATAATATTATATTGTATAATATTATATAATATATTATAGTTTCTAACATGTTAGAGTTTATTAATAATATTTTAATAATATATTAATAATTTATGATATAACTAAAAATTATTATACTATGAATATATTATTTTTATATTAACATTTGGTAGCAATAAATTATTTTACTTTATAATATATTATATTATTTATTACATACTATATTAATATTTTATATATTACATTACATTTACTAAACAATATATTATTATAATATTACTATAATAATATTATTATATATTTAATTTATTATTAAATATGTTACTATTATATAATATTTTATAATTATTAATTTATTGAAATTTATTTATGAAGAAGTTAATAATATTATAGTGATTATAGTATTGTATAGTATATTATTATATTATTATTTATTGTAAATAACTTCTTTATTATTTTTTGTTAGTTATTTATATTTTGTTATTATTTTTTAATACACAATACGTTATCAACATATTAAATACCAGTATCTAATATGTTATTATATTATTTTATAGGATATAATAGTTGATGGAACAAAAACATGTACCAAATATTGCAAGTGCACAACCAATCAAGTTATAATATAAAAATTTATCGATTCCATGAGGAAGGTGTTTGCAAGAAATAATTAGATTCGGTTCTTATGTTGTGTGCGTCAATTAGGAGTGGTTAGAAACAAGTAAATGAAAAAGAGACGTTTGTTTGTTTGGAGGGTTGATTGTGTGTTGTATTATATGCAAAATAAAATGTTGATTAAGAGATTTGGAGGGTTGATTGTGTGTTGTATTATATGCAAAATAAAATGTTGATTAAGAGAGAAGAAGAATAAATAAATAAAATTACAATCGTAGAATATAAAATGTTGATTAAGAGAGAAGAAGAATAAATAAATAAAATTACAATCGTAGAACAAGAAATGTAAGAAAGGAGGGAAAAGAAAATTAAAATAAAAACAAGAGAATAAAAGAAAAGAATAAAATCAAGAAAGTGAAAACAAATGAGGATATCAATTTAAAGATATTAGGAATCTAAAATTGAATCCACTAAATTATTTCTCTTAGTAATTATGAAATATTCTCTCTTTATCTTTATTAGAATTCTCCTTTAGATTTACTAAGTGTAGGTCATCAAACAACTCAATGAAAGGGTACCCTATCAAATTATCACCCAAGTTAAATTCATTCATGCAAGAAAAATCAATTTGAGCTAGACTTAATCTAGAATTCACAAGTGTAACCCATCAAACAATTTAATGAAAGGGTAGGTTATCAAGTTCTTCTCCAAGATCTCTTATTAATTATCCTAACATGATTATTATTTGCACAAGAGAATATTCCACAAATTAGAAAGAAATCTAACTTAGTTTCATGCAATTCATAAATTCCTACAATGTTTTAGTTCCACAATTAAAAATATAAACCTAACTATAAACATAAAATTAAATTAATTACAGAAAATAAAAGAAGAATAAATAAAAAGAAAATCTATACTATGGAAATAAAAAGCAAGAATTAATTACAAGAAAGGAAAAAACTATGCTAACAAAGAAAAGGAAAAGAAAGAAGGAATAAAGAAAATAAAATTGCAAGGAAATAAATCTAAGCTGTGAATTAAAATGCAAGATAAGAATACAAAAGAAAGTGAAAAATAAAGAAAATAAAAATAGAAACTTACATTCAAGGGGGTTTTCCTCTCCTTGAATTTAAATTCCGGTGAACAAGATTGTATTAAATGTAAAATGAATTACAAGTTTGAGGGTTTCTCAATCAAAGAGTAAACTCCTCATACAAAACTTTCATACCCTCAACCTCTCATACTCTCCTCTATTTATACACCAAAATATCCAACACTCATAATTAAAATACAATATTTCAACACATACTACAATCCAAAAATCCATACCATATCCTATCCACAATCCAAAAACCCATACTCATGCCTATCCACAATCCATAACATAAAATGGGCTTTTGGCTTCATTTATTGGTTTTTTCCCTCTTTGAGCTTTTGCTTCATGGGCTTCATTTTCCTCTTTGCTTCAATTCTTCATTTTCCTCTTTGGGCTTTTGCTTCATGAGCTTCATTGGCTTATGATCTTTGGGCTTCTAAAATGCTAAAAAATAGAGAAGAATTTGAGAGTTTTTTTTACATTTAATAATATTTATTTATGTTTTTATTCATTTATGTGCAAACTAAGGTAAAATGTCGATATTAGCATATTTATTTCTTAAATAATTAGATAATGAGGTTATAAAATGTTATAAAATATGTTAATCAATAGTATTATATTTTTATATTATTTAATAAATACTACTAATATATTAGATTAACTATAATATAGCATAGTATGATATAATATATTATAATTAGCATGTCGATAATAACTATGTATTAATTACATTGAAAATATTATGTTATATATTATATTAACACCTTCTCAAACTCAAAGCCAAAACACCTCACTTAAAATACCTAAAAAGTGTTTTGAAATAAGTGTTATGTTTTTCGTTTGAGGATGATTTAGCTCAAAAAATATTATGGTTTCCAAATGCATGGTGTTTCATTTTTGGTAAAAATATCATGAAAACAAGTAAAACACCATGGTATCCAAACGAATTCTTAGTTAGCCCATTATAGGGGGCTAAAAATAATTAAATTCCATTTGGATTGGACAATAAAGATGAAAGGTTAACTTTTTAGTGTTTCACAATTAGAGAAGGGTTAAATAGGTTACTTACGCTAAATTTTTAAATATGTCAACTATAACCTTATTAAAGTTCAAAAAAATTTTCTGACTCCCTCTCCGAAATGCAAGTACACAACAAATTAGAGAATGCACATATTCATAATTTATAAATTATATAAACTGTCGTTGGAAAACTTTCAATAAGTAGATTATAAACTTGCAATGCAAA